TAGAGAACAAACACCCAGTAGAGGTAAACCACTTCCATGTGATTGATGATAAATTGTTTTAAGATTATATGCCTAACTTTTCTTCTTCTTCTCAGTATATGACGATAGACGTTGGTAATAGAGTGTCCTTGTCCTTTATCCACGAGCATTTGATGGTGCCTTGGAATGATATGAGGAAAGGTGATTGTTATGGACGTTTTGAATCCATCACTGATGGCTTCTACTGCGAGAGCTGTGATTTTTTCGTCCACAAAAAGTGTAGCGAGTCCTCCAAATATATCCAACACCCATCTCACTCCTCCGCTCACCTTCTTCTGCTTCGGTCTAAGAGTCCTCTACATCATGAATGTGATCTATGTGGCAAACACATCTCGAATCTATTATATCGTTGTGAGATATGCGATTTCGACATGGATCTATATTGTGCCAAGTATTCACCACCAGAGGTTATCGAAGTTTTCGAGACACACCAGCACAGCCTAACCCTTCTCAAGAAGAAGATTGAGTTCGATTGCGATGCTAAATGTGGCAAGGCTGGTGAAAATGAGTATGCTTACAAATGTCATGAATGTGATTTAGCATTCCATGTGGATTGCGTATGGAACCATTTGGAGGTTGAACGCCCGTTAGAGGTAAACCACTCTTACCACTCCTTACACCCTCTTGAACTCCTCAGAGGTCAGCCACCAGAATATTCTGATGGAAAATGTCGTCTTTGTGGAAGAACGGTTGATGATGAAGTATTTTACCATTGTTCTTCGTGTAACTTCACATTGGATATGCGTTGTGTACTAAACCCACCACAACAATCTCTTCTGAATTTGAAAGCTCATGATCATCAGCTCACCCTTCTCCCAAGACTTGATTCTTTTACATGTAATGCTTGCGGTCTGAAGGGAGATCGAAGCCCTTACGTATGTTTTCAATGTGGTTTCATGATTCATCAAGACTGTCTTGACCTTCCACGTGTCATAAACATCAATCGGCATGATCACCGTATTTCTCGCACTTCTGTTCTTGGTGTTGTGGATTCTGTATGTGGAGTTTGTTGCAAGAATGTGGATTGGACTTGTGGGGGTTATTCATGCCTGCAGAGGTGTCCTGGCTATATCGTTCATTCAAAATGCGCTACAAGAAAAGATGTTTGGAATGGGAAAGAACTCGAAGGAGTACCTGAAGAAATAGAAGATTTAGAGCCATATGTGATCATAGATGAAAACACAATACAACATTTCAGCCACAAAGAGCAATACCTTAGAGTCCACATCAATGGTGCTTTATACGAGGAGAACCAGTGGTGCAACGCATGCAACCATCCCATCGGTCTCCAATCGTTCTATGGTTGTATCGATTGTGGTTTCGTTCTCCACCAAAACTGCGTTGAGTTTCCTAAAAAGAAATGGCATGTGCTACACAATGAGCAGCTTACTTTAGTTACAAGCAAGGGCAATTACTTTGACTGCGATGCTTGTGGTGTAACTTCCAATGGTTTCATGTACAAGCATGGGAAAATGGAATTAGATGTCTGTTGCGCTTCAATTTCTGAGCCATTTGTCCATCCAAGTCATCCTCACCATCCCTTATATTACATTCCACAAGACAAAAAAGAAATATGCAATGGTTGCAACAAGGAGGAATCGCATGTGCTCAGGTGCATTGAAGATGGTTGTGATTTTGTCTTGGGATTCAAATGTGCCACTTTACCACAAGTGGTAAAGCATAGAGTCGACAATCATCCTCTCTCACTATGTTATGGCGAAGAGGCAAGTGATAAATATTGGTGTGACATTTGTGAGAAAGTAACCAATCCAAAGACATGGTTCTACACGTGTAAATATCACCGAGCTAGTTTGCATCCAATGTGTGTCCTCGGCGACTTTGCAGGGTTCATGCCAAGAAGCACAGCAGGTTTGGGGCCTTTTATATATGAGGTGATGCTTAATAATAGTGTAACTCGTCCATTTTGCGAGTCGTGTAAGTCGCGTTGCTTGTACCCTATCACCTTGAAGAGCCTCGCAACCTCAGTTACATACATTTGCTCCTTTCACTAATGAGGGAAGAAGACCTGTAGCGAGCGAAGTGGATCATTAAAACTCAAAAACGAAATCACGTATGAAGCAAAAATATTCGTTTACCTGTCTTTTATTCTTCATTTTACAAGTTCATTTCCATTATGAGTTGATTTCCTTAATGTATTATTGTTATCTGCCTGTTACTATAGCCAATACCTTCACTTTTCAGCTTTTGTTTTCTACAAAATCTTCTTTGAAAAGTTTAAATCAAAGACAAGAATTTGCAGTGACTACTTTTAGAAATCATCCAAACTTTTGACTTACTTGAGGAATCAAACGGTAAACAGTCTCACTTTTGATTCCCTTTCTTATATCTCCAAATGGAAAACAGAGGCACAATATATATGTCATGAAAATTTCTTGACATAATAATATTTGTTGTATCAATGAAGTAAAAAAAAGAAAAATGGTATTTGCATAATCCCCTTGAATTGCATTTCCTTCTTCCACTCTTAAAAGCAATCTGAAACTTAATTTCGTTTGTGACAAAAAAAAAAACTAAATTTTGTTTTAAATGTTTCTAATTCCGTACCTCATGATTGCAACAATTTGTATAATTAATTGCATCTCCAAATTGCTCAATTTTCTTTAAAAATAGAAAAGATTTAGTTTTGAATTATGGGGACGAAAACAAGCAAACGATCTCATACGTCGTAAATAAGCATTTTTTTTTTATGTCAAATTTATAGATAGGATCAGAACAAAAACCAAGTTTTAGAAACTTTGTGTTTACCCTGTTAAATCACTTTTCATCTTATTCATTTTGAATGCTCATTGTATATATACCCTATAAGTCATGAAATTCTTCTGTTCTTGAAACATTTTGCGGAGAAATATAACCAAACTCCATTTTGTAGACTAAAAAGTTACACAATTTTGTTGATTATTTTACAGAAAGATCTGAGTAAACATTTTATCTTTTTTTAACCGTTTGTTTAACAATCTTTTTTACTAGTAGAAAACATTTATCGTTTTTATATCATCAGATTCCGATATGGGTCTGTTAGCTAAGAAGATGTTACCCTCATGGGCTTTTGTACTTTAGCCCAATCATAGGGATATTTTCGTCATTGCACTGGTATAAGAAACCCTAGAACCGTCCAATATAACTCCTTTCACTTGTCACTCGACGCAGCTTCGTTTTCGCAGCTCTCTTTCGCTTCAGCTCCAACTTTGATCTCCTTCAAAAATGGTACTTTCCTCTCTTTATCGATTTGACACGTAGATCGATTCCATCCTCATTTGTTTGATTCAATGGATTCATGTTCAAATTTTTTCTATCTGTGATGATTGTAGGCGTCGGAGAAGAAGCTATCTAACCCCATGAGGGACATTAAGGTCCAGAAACTTGTTCTTAATATCTCCGTTGGTGAGAGTGGTGATCGTCTCACTCGTGCTTCCAAGGTCAGTATCAGAAGAAAAATCTCAACTTTTTACCATTTCAACTCTAAATTGGTTTTAGAATCTACGGAAGAAATGTGTTAGTGATAAGTTATGGATTCTTGTTCTGTAGGTGTTGGAACAGCTCAGTGGTCAAACCCCTGTTTTTTCCAAGGGTATGTGAAATGTTTTAAATCTCTTCTACAGTTTAGGGTTTTGTGTGAATCTTGACTTTGATGAGTTTGTGAAACAGCGAGGTACACTGTGAGGTCTTTTGGTATTAGGCGTAATGAGAAGATTGCGTGCTATGTTACTGTGAGAGGTGAGAAGGCAATGCAGCTTCTTGAGAGTGGTTTGAAAGTTAAGGAGTATGAGCTTCTTAGGAGGAACTTTAGCGATACTGGTTGCTTTGGATTCGGTATCCAAGAGCACATTGATCTTGGAATCAAGTAAGTTTTCTGTTTATTTGTAATACATTGATGCTTGATTTAAATTCATTTTTTTGGGTTTGCATATAGTTTTCTGTACTTCAATTTCATTTTATGTAATGGACCAATCTCCAATCATGTTTGGTACAATGTAGCAATGTGTTGTTTTTAGGTTTTGGAATTGCTTAGAGAGGAAGACTTCATTGGTTTTAGTGGAATGTTAGATTTGGACATAACCAAATATGTACACTTTTCTTGTTCTTATAAAAGATGAACACTTCTCTGGTTTTTGTGTAATGTTCGGTTTGATTTGATAATATCTGTATGCTTAACTGTGATTTTGTGGAATGTTGGATTTGATTAAATAGACTTTACTGGTTTTTGTGATTCTTATCCGTTTTCATTTTGTTTATTTAGGTATGATCCTTCTACCGGTATCTACGGAATGGACTTCTATGTTGTTCTTGAACGTCCAGGATACCGTGTTGCCCGTCGCCGTAGATGCAAGGCTCGCGTTGGTATTCAGCACAGAGTAACCAAGGATGATGCGATGAAATGGTTCCAAGTTAAGTATGAAGGAGTTATTCTCAACAAGTCTCAGAACATCACTGGCTAAATAAACTTTTATCTTTAGAGATTTTTGTTGAATTTAGCTTTGTTTCAAGTTGTGATCTTTTTACTATTTCTGGATGTTAAAGAATTTCTTCTTGTAGTAAAAACCTCTTTTTGACATGATTTTGGTCGAATCTAAATCTAAATTTTCTTTGGAGGTCTAATTTTTATTTTGTTCGTATCTACTGTCTTCATCAGAACTACAATGAATCAAAACAGCTCCATTGATTCCTCTGTTTATTTAGCTCTACAATTCACATAAGAATTGGTTTCCACCATTGTTCTTGCAGTGAGTTTTGGTGTGATTTATAACATTCTAGATTAGAAATACCGTACTTTTTGTTACCATCAAAATTGTTCCCAAGTATTGGTATCAGTTTCGAAGCTGGTTCAGACTTTTTATCATCGACTTTTGGATCAGGCAATCACTTGATAATCCACTAATAAGCAATAACAATGAGAAATAAAGATGAATCTCTCAGTCTATTTATGGCCATATCAGGTCTAGTCAAGAGATTGAGTAAACCTTAACTACTCTTGTTGTGTCACAAACAACAAGATTCTCAGAATCAGATTGACTCGTGCAAAGCCAATTCACCTGTTTTAAAAAAGCCAATTAGATATCAGAATCTGA